TTAGACTGTAAGCTCCATGAGCAGGGCCCTCCTATTCCTTCTGTATTTACTTTCTTGTACTGTCCCGTTTATAAATGGCTGTGTAAAGTGGTGGCGCTATATAAATCCTGTGTAATAATCATAGTAATGTGCGACTTTGTTTCACTTATAGCACCTTAATGACTCCATAAACGTCAATGGAAATACACCAACAATGTGTGTAAATTGTGTATGTGCATTTGTAGTGCATTTTAGGAGAGTTCTGTGTATAAAATCCAGTCTCCTCCAACAAAACAAATGTGTCAACAATGCACTGAAAGTTGGATCAGGTTCCAGCTGCACTAAGATGATTGCACCCCAAATATTCCTTCCCAAAATACATTTATATAAAAGAGACTCATTTTTATGTACTAAGCATTTGTGTACAGAGGGGGCCAACGGCAACTGCAACTGTAGCCCTTATAAATCCAGCACTGGTTCACCTAAAGCCAGCTAGAGGAACCCCTCAGATAAGTGACGACTGTTGTACCAGAGGACAATGAGCCTGGAGAAGGTACTGGATCTTCCTTCAGACTGCTCTGTGCCTGGCTCTGCAGGTCTGTATGTCTGCGCCTGGCTCCGCAGGTGTGAATGTCTGCGCCTGGCTCCGCGGGTCTGTATGTCTGCGCCTGGCGCCTGGCTCCGGGTCTGTATGTCTGCGCCTGGCTCCGCGGGTCTGTATGTCTGCGCCTCCGCGGGTGTATGTCGCCGCCTGGCTCCGCAGGTATGTCTGTGTATGTCTGCGCCTGGCTCTATTCTGCATATTTATTTTCCTCTGAGAACTCCCGACATCTTCTACTACAGAGTACACGGCACACACTATACAGAGTACACGGCACACACACTATACAGAGTACACGGCACACACTATACAGAGTACACGGCACACACTACAGAGTACACGGCGCACACTACAGAGTACACGGCGCACACTATACAGAGTACACGGCACACACTATACAGAGTACACGGCGCACTATACAGAGTACACGGCACACACTATACAGAGTACACGGCGCACACACTATACAGAGTACACGGCACACACACTATACAGAGTACACGGCACACACTATACAGAGTACACGGCACACTATACAGAGTACACGGCACACTATACAGAGTACACGGCACACTATACAGAGTACACGGCACACACACTATACAGAGTACACGGCACACTATACAGAGTACACGGCACACACATACTATACAAACAGTACACGGCACACAATATACAGAGTACACGGCACACACTATACAGAGTACACGGCACACACTATACAGAGTACACGGCACACAATATACAGAGTACACGGCACACACTATACAGAGTACACGGCACACTATACAGAGTACACGGCACACAATATACAGAGTACACGGCGCACACTATACAGAGTACACGGCACACACTATACAGAGTACACGGCACACTATACAGAGTACACGGCGCACACTATACAGAGTACACGGCACACACTATACAGAGTACACGGCGCACACTATACAGAGTACACGGCACACACTATACAGAGTACACGGCACACACTATACAGAGTACACGGCGCACACTATACAGAGTACACGGCGCACACTATACAGAGTACACGGCACACACTATACAGAGTACACGGCACACACTATACAGAGTACACGGCACACACTATACAGAGTACACGGCACACACTATACAGAGTACACGGCACACACTATACAGAGTACACGGCGCACACTATACAGAGTACACGGCGCACACTATACAGAGTACACGGCGCACACTATACAGAGTACACGGCGCACACTATACAGAGTACACGGCGCACACTATACAGAGTACACGGCGCACACTATACAGAGTACACGGCGCACACTATACAGAGTACACGGCGCACTATACAGAGTACACGGCACACTATACAGAGTACACGGCACACTATACAGAGTACACGGCACACTATACAGAGTACACGGCACACACTATACAGAGTACACGGCACACACTATACAGAGTACACGGCTCACTATACAGAGTACACGGCACACTATACAGAGTACACGGCGCACACTATACAGAGTACACGGCGCACACTATACAGAGTACACGGCACACACTATACAGAGTACACGGCACACTATACAGAGTACACGGCGCACACTATACAGAGTATACAGAGTACACGGCGCACACTATACAGAGTACACGGCGCACACTATACAGAGTACACGGCGCACACTATACAGAGTACACGGCACACTATACAGAGTACACGGCGCACACTATACAGAGTACACGGCACACTATACAGAGTACACGGCGCACACTATACAGAGTACACGGCACACACTATACAGAGTACACGGCGCACTATACAGAGTACACGGCGCACACTATACAGAGTACACGGCACACACTATACAGAGTACACACACTATACAGGCACACACTATACAGAGTACACGGCACACACTATACAGAGTACACGGCACACTATACAGAGTACACGGCACACACTATACAGAGTACACGGCACACACTATACAGAGTACACGGCACACACTATACAGAGTACACGGCACACTATACAGAGTACACGGCACACACTATACAGAGTACACGGCGCACACTATACAGAGTACACGGCGCACACACACTATACAGAGTACACGGCGCACACTATACAGAGTACACGGCGCACACTATACAGAGTACACGGCACACACTATACAGAGTACACGGCACACTATACAGAGTACACGGCACACACTATACAGAGTACACGGCACACTATACAGAGTACACGGCGCACACTATACAGAGTACACGGCACACTATACAGAGTACACGGCACACACTATACAGAGTACACGGCACACACTATACAGACTACACGGCGCACACTATACAGAGTACACGGCGCACACTATACAGAGTACACGGCGCACTATACAGAGTACACGGCGCACACTATACAGAGTACACGGCGCACACTATACAGAGTACACGGCGCACACTATACAGAGTACACGGCACACTATACAGAGTACACGGCGCACTATACAGAGTACACGGCGCACACTATACAGAGTACACGGCACACATATACAGAGAGTACACGGCGCACACTATACAGAGTACACGGCGCACACTATACAGAGTACACGGCGCACACTATACAGAGTACACGGCGCACACTATACAGAGTACACGGCGCACACTATACAGAGTACACGGCGCACACTATACAGAGTACACGGCGCACTATACAGAGTACACGGCGCACACTATACAGAGTACACGGCGCACACTATACAGAGTACACGCACACTATACAGAGTACACTGCACACTATACAGAGTACACGGCACACACTATACAGAGTACACGGCACACACTATACAGAGTACACGGCACACACTATACAGAGTACACGGCACACACTATACAGAGTACACGGCGCACACTATACAGAGTACACGGCACACTATACAGAGTACACGGCGCACACTATACAGAGTACACGGCGCACACTATACAGAGTACACGGCGCACTATACAGAGTACACGGCGCACACTATACAGAGTACACGGCGCACACTATACAGAGTACACGGCACACTATACAGAGTACACGGCGCACACTATACAGAGTACACGGCGCACACTATACAGAGTACACGGCGCACACACATACAGAGTACACGGCGCACACTATACAGAGTACACGGCGCACACTATACAGAGTACACGGCGCACACTATACAGAGTACACGGCGCACTATACAGAGTACACGGCGCACACTATACAGAGTACACGGCACACTATACAGAGTACACGGCGCACACTATACAGAGTACACGGCGCACACTATACAGAGTACACGGCACACACTATACAGAGTACACGGCACACACTATACAGAGTACACGCACACTATACAGAGTACACGGCACACTATACAGAGTACACGGCACACACTATACAGAGTACACGGCACACACTATACAGAGTACACGGCACACTATACAGAGTACACGGCACACACTATACAGAGTACACGGCACACACTATACAGAGTACACGGCACACTATACAGAGTACACGGCGCACACTATACAGAGTACACGGCGCACACTATACAGAGTACACGGCGCACACTATACAGAGTACACGGCACACTATACAGAGTACACGGCGCACACTATACAGAGTACACGGCGCACACTATACAGAGTACACGGCGCACACTATACAGAGTACACGGCGCACTATACAGAGTACACGGCGCACACTATACAGACGTACACGGCACGCACACTATACAGAGTACACGGCACACACTATACAGAGTACACGGCACACTATACACGGCGTACACGGCACACACACTATACAGAGTACACGGCGCACACTATACAGAGTACACGGCACACACTATACAGAGTACACGGCACACACTATACAGAGTACACGGCACACACTATACAGAGTACACGGCACACTATACTATAGAGTACACGGCACACTATACAGAGTACACGGCACACACTATACAGAGGCACACGGTACACGCACACTATACAGAGTACACGGCACACACTATACAGAGTACACGGTACGCACACTATACAGAGTACACGGCGCACACTATACAGAGTACACGGCACACTATACAGAGTACACGGCGCACACTATACAGAGTACACGGCGCACACTATACAGAGTACACGGCGCACACTATACAGAGTACACGGCACACACTATACAGAGTACACGGCACACTATACAGAGTACACACACACTATACAGAGTACACGGCACACTATACAGAGTACACGGCACACACTATACAGAGTACACTGCACACAGCCCCGGTCATGGAGGGGACCCCCTGAGCCCCGTATTAGCTGTTCTCTACCCCGGGGTCCCTATGAGGTGAATGCCCCCCCCCCCTCCTCCTCCTGTGAGGGGATGACATACCGTCCGGGTCTTGTCCGCCTTCATCACCTGGTGTCCTATGGAGGGGATGGACACCTCTAACATGGTGCTGGGTGAGAGAAGAGGACCCCGGTGTGCTCAGCCCCGCTGGAAGCTTCCTCCTCTCCGACTATAGAGGTCCCAAGTCCCCCCCGGTCCGTCCATGTCCCTGTCTGTGTGTGCGATGTACAGCGGGAGGACAGCGAGTGCCCGGCTCCCCGCCCCCTCTCCGGATCATCCCCGCCCTCCTCCTCCCCTCACCATCACCTCAGGCAGAGTGCAGAGCCCGGCGGTCATAGACCGTGTGCGGCTCATATCCTAGTGCTGTGAGGGGAGAGCTGGGTGTCCTGTGATGATATACAATGCTCTAATCATTAAAGGAACACTTAGAGAACACATCAGATGTCAATGGGGAGCAATCTCCTGCTGGATATCTATACTGATATGGACGGGGTAATGTGATAGGAACGTAGGATGCCCCATTGATGGAAATGAAAGTCATCCACCTACAGAGGACTGAATTCAAAGACACCCCGAAAATCAAAGTGAAAAAATGATGCAGCAGGATAGTCTATTCCGCTGAAATCTCATTGCAGCAACTCAGAATGGTCCTCAGTAGTTTGTATGGCCCCCACGCTTGTATGCATGCCTGACAACCTCAGGGGAGGCTCCTAATGAGATGACAGATGGTGTCCTGGGGGATTTCCTCCCAGATCTGGACCAGGGCATCACAGAGCTCCTGGACAGTCTGAGGTACAACCTGGTGGTGTCAGATGGACCGAAACATGATATCACAGAGCAGGGGCAGACTGACAACTCATGGGCCCCCCGGGCAATAGGGGATCATGGGGCCCCTGTGTCCTTGCCCAAACTCAAAAAAGCATATGAAAAAGGTACGAGGGGCATCTCATGGGGCCCCCTACTGACCCCGGGCCCTCGGGCAGTGCCCGAGTTTCCAAATAGTCAGTCTGCCCTGTCCCAGAGGTGTTCTATTGGATTTAGGTCAGGCAAGAGTGGGAGCCATTCAATGGTATCAATTCCTTCATCCTCCAGGAACTGCCTGCATACTCTCACCACATGAGGCCAGGCATTGTTGTGCACCAGGAGGAACCCAGGACCCACTGCACCTGCATAGGATCTGACAATGGGTCCAAGGATTTCATCCCGATACCTAATGGCAGTCAGGGTGCCATTGTATAGCCTGTAGAGGTCTGTGCGTCCCTCCATGGATATGTCTCCCCAGACCATCACTGACCCACCACCAAATCAGTCATGCTGAATGATCTTACAGGCATCATAACGTTCTTCATGGCTTCTCCAGACCCTTTCACGTCTGTCACATGTGCTCAGGGTCAACCCGCTCTCATCTATGAAAAGCACAGGGCGCCAGTGGCAGACCTGCGAATTCTGGTGTTCAATGGCAAATGCCAATCGAGCTCTATGGTGGTGCCAGGCAGTGTGCACAGGAGCCACTAGAGGATGTCGGCCCTCAAGCCATCCTCATGAAGCCTGTTTCTAAATTGGTCAGAGACATTCACACCAGTGACCTGCTGGAGGTCATTTTGTAGGGCTCTGTCAGTGCTCATCCTGGCCCTCCTTGCACAAAGGAAATGATACCGGTCCTCCTGATGGGTTAAGGACCTTTTATGGCCCTGTCCAGCTCTCCTAGAGTAACTGCCTGTCTCCTGGAATCTACTCCATGCTCTTGAGACTGTGCTGGGAGACACAGCAAACCTTCTGGCGATGGCACGCATTGATGTGCCATCCTGGAGGAGTTGGATTGCCTGTGCAACCTCTGTAGGGTCCAGGTATTGCCGCATGCTACCTATAGTGACACTAACCCTAGACAAATGCAAAACTAGTGAAAAACAGTCAGAAAAGATGAGTAAGAAAAAAAATATTAGTGGCCACCACCTGTAAAACCATTCCTGTTTTGGGGGTTGTCTCATTGTTGCCAATCCAGTGCACCTGTTAATTTCATTAACACCAAAGCAGCTGAAACTGATGAACAACCCCATCTTCTACCTAACTGACCAGATCAATATCTCAGGAGTTTCATTGACTTGATGCTATACTCTGATTAATAAGTGTTCCTTTAATTTTTTTTAGCAGTGTATATACCAGATTATAGGGACATGACCAGGACCAACCTTGTCTGCAGGACAAGGACTACACAGAGCTCAGGATGGAGTCTATGGGGTTGATTTACAAAAGGCAAATAGACTGCAAGAGGTGTTGCACTTTGTAAGGAAAATTTCCCTTAGCTTTGTGAATTTAATGAAATAACATCCAATAAAATGCAAGGAAAAAATGCATTTTTCTTGCACTTGATTGGATGATGGAATTCAGCTGACCTTCACTTCATTCACTAAACTTTGGAAATGAATTCCCTGACAAAATAAAGTGCTTATTAGCCTTCAGTAAATCAACCACAACGGTGAACAAAGCATGACAAAGGTTTCTGGGACCTCCGTATAACTACTGCCTAGGGCTGGCCATATGTATACAATTTTCCCTTCGATTTACCAAAACCATATAACATGAGGTCAAAGCTAAACTTTGCTCAATCTGTATGCAATCAGACAGGCCCTTGTACTACACAGTACTACATACTATCCTTTAGACAAATCTAAAGGAAATTGAACAAGAACATTGTATAATGTATGGCCAACCTAAGAGGAAATATCTATTCACCTTTTGTTTTTTTAAACAATTTTTCCAGGTCGAAATAACAAAAAATAAACAAAAACAAATTTTAACTCTGCAGTATAGAAGAGCATAGACAACAGTGTGAGCCTCGTAGGAGGAATAATGCACTGCGTTCCAGAACTAATAGTACCGGCAGAGCTCTGAAGTAACCTGAGTTGTCCTACAAGCAGTACATACCGCATACAAGAACTCACACAATACAAGGTAGTTAAGGTGTTACTATACCCACACCAGTAAAATCAGTCTGTATATGCAGTAAAGCATGCCTTTTATACTCACTGGGGAACCTAAGGGGTTAATACTCTGAATTATGTAAAAAGGCTGTTTGATCCTGTCTTCTCTGATCCTCCCCTTCTTATACTGTCTCCAATCTATCAGCTGATAGAACAGAACCTAGGGGGCAAGCTGCACATTCTCAGTTTGGTGTGTATTGCTAGAGGTTTTTTTTTCTTGGGAGACTGCATGTGATCAGCACAGGGACAATCAGCACTGTCCAGGCAGAGAGTCAGGGGTAATGCAGCCTCATAGGACAATCAGGGGAGAATGAAAACTCCTACAAGCTTTAACCAGTGCGCTGCTGGACACTGATAGAAGTCAAGGCTACAATATACAGCTGATGGGAAAAAGAATGTAGCAGTTTATATTTACTAAAATAATTGCATTTCCATGCTCTGTGTGCTGTGGGAGACCAGATATAGTGGATGCAGGGTCCTGGGTTTAGTAACACTTTTAAGTAGAAGTTACCTAGAGAAAGTCACTTATTATACACTGGTTATACATATCAGCTTTTGTAACAGGCTTCAGCTAAGGAGGCAAAACAATCAGCTACCAAAAATGTGGTTAGGCTGTATAATTAGAGGTCAACCCCTATCTCTGAACAAGCCTGGACTATGCCTTCTGCTGTGGGTGAGCAAGAAATAACATCAACAAGTGTAAGGCAAAGTCTACAGGCATGGGAAAATCTGCTTGTAAATGGATAGAAAACTGGCTAAAAGATCGTATTCAGAGAGTAGAGGTTAATGATTCATACTCTGAATGGTCTAGGGTTGTCAGTGGTGTACCCCAAGGTTCAGTGTTGGGATCCTTACATTTTAATATATTTATAAATGATATAGGGTCTGGGATTATAAACCCCATTGCAGTCTTTGCAGATAACACCAAGCTGTGCAGTGGAATAATGTCCTTACAGGATGTCTTCAATTTACAAGCCGACCTCAATGCACTGTTTAATTGAGCAACTAGGTGGCAAATGAGGTTTAATGTTGATAAATGTAAGGTTCTGCACTTGGGGGCTAAGAATATACATGTATTATACATATTAGGGGGTACAATTGGGGGAATCAATGGTGGAGAAGGATCTGGGGGTTCTGGTAGATCACAAGCTTAATAATGGCATGCAATGCCAAGCTGCAGTTTCTAAAGCGAGCAAAATCCTCTCTTGTATTAAAAGAGGTATAGACTCCAGAGAGAGAGATATCATATTACCCCGGTACAAATCATTAGTAATACCTCATCTGGAATATGCAGTTCAGTTTTGGGCACCAATTTACAAAAAGAACATTGGGGAACTGGAGAAAGTACAGAGAAGGGCAACCAAACTGATAAGAGGCATAGAGGAGCTCAGCTATGAGGAAAGATTAGAGGAACTGAATTTATTCTCTCTTGAGAAGAGGAGATTTATGGGGGATATGATCAACATGTATAAATACATCAGTGGTTCATATAGTGAACTTGTTGTAGAGTTATTCACCCTGAGGTCATCACAGAGGACAAGGGGGCACTCTTTACAGCTGGAGGAAAAGAGATTTAATCTCCAAATACTGAAAGGCTTCTTCATAATAACAGCAGTGAAAATGTGGAATAGACTCCCTCAAGAGTTGGTTCTGGCCAGCGCAGTGGATTGTTTAAAAAGGCCTGGATTGTTTCCTAGATACAAACAATATAACCGGATACTAGGGATGCACCAATACCCTTCTTTGATTGGTGAGTACGAGTACCAATACTTTCAGTTAAGTACTCGCCAATACCAAGCACTGATACTTTGCGTTGCAATTTGTGTCAATACAAAATGTAAGGACGCAAATCACACTGCAAATAATATGCGATTTGAACAAGAATGCAATTCCTGTCCAAATCGCATGCAGTTTCTCTACTGCTCCTGTGTAAACTTGGGGTTGTCATAGGAAACCTCCCTGCACCGATCCTGTGCTGTCACAGAAGGAAAAGCTGGGGATTTGAAATCCCCACGGCTTTCCCTCCTCTCAATTTAGGGATGACAGTATGGGCTAGATGGCTTTTCATTGGACCACAGTGCTGACCAATCAGAAGCCATCTAGCCCATACTGAAAGCCGCTTCA